ATTTACAGACTTTTATTTATGGATTTTTTTAATTTATTTTATTTTTTTTTTACATTTTAATATGGTACATAGATTTAACTGGAAACTTTGGTTAAATTCAAATCCTGTTGGTGGAAACTGCCTCTAAATTATATTGGTACTGATTTCAGAGCATGTGTTTATTTTGTGCAGGAGCCGTTGATGGAGGAGTACAGCATCGCTGCTCAGGTGTGGAAACTGAGCTCATGTGACATGTGTGAGTTAGCCAGGAACAGCGTCTTAATGAGCGGATTCTCTCACAAGGTAGCATTCATCTTTACAGCACGCTACATATTAACCTGCCTCACGGCTATGAAACAGACTATCAGCATGCAGACAGTTTGATCTCCCTCTGTCCCCGACAGATGAAGAGTTACTGGCTCGGCCCAGACTACATCGCAGAAGGCCAGGAGAGTAACGACATCAGGCGCACCAACGTCCCCGACATCCGTGTGGCGTACCGCTACGAGACCATGTGTGAGGAGCTGAATTTGATCACGCAGGCCATCCGCACAGATGAGCTGGAGACCACAGAGGGGGAGGGGGCATTGTGCATGGGAGCGGTGCAGGCAGAGAAGTGAACGTGCAGCACAGACGGCTCAGCACACAGGCCACGTTTCCACATCTGGACGTTGTACACGTTTGCATAGAAACATATCACTTGTGAAAGAAAAGAAGAACCTTCCACATGGGATGATTACGAGCTGCTAACACCAGAAATTAAAACCTGTGTATCTTCAGTTTTCTTCCTTTAGTTTCCCAGAGTCGTTTGTTTTGTTCTTGATGCTTTTTTTTTCCCCCGAAATGTCTCTTGACTAAGTCCTTCTAAGAGTATCATGGACTGTTACCATATTCTGTCACCATTTACTGTATGTCCAGTGTCTGTAACTGCTGTACCAAGTCTTGCACATTTTCAAAAATATCATGAATAATAAACAGGATCCAAGATTGACTGTGAAAAGAAAAATAATTTGAACAACATATAGAGCTGCATTTAGGATCAGGTTACTTGGTTACTTTTTTTGGCTATTTAGGAGTTTTTTTCTTTTTCTTTTTATTTTATCTCTGTTTTATCATTAGTTTTTGGGCCCATTCCTCCAGCTACATCAAACCTATAATAACATGAGTTGAAGAAGTGAATAGATAGATTTACCATCCCTGAAATCTTACAGACAGCAGAAAAAGTGACAGTAGAGCCATCTGCAGAGTCTGCAAACCTGACAGTATCTGTCAATTGAAAAAAAAACTTATATTTATATATAAAATATTACATTAAGCACTGGTAGATACTGTTTACTAATCAAACAGTGCCCACCAAGTCAGAAACTAGTTGGTCTCAGAAGGATTTTATTTCACAGTATGCGAGTAAAAGGGGTTAAATACAATAGCAAGTCACAATTTTCAGGTTTCATGTTTGAGGCTGTAACACGAGAAACTCAAAAAAGCTAAGCAGTGTATTCCTAAGACTTAATGTGGGAATGTACATAAAATCCCAGCACTTGTAGTAACAGTGTGTGGACCAATGTTAAACTTCAGGATGCCAATTAGAGCATACAGATGGACTTAATGTTTTAACATCATTTAACAGTTCATAGATTACCATTTTGAAACCTTCATTTTTGGTAGGTGGGTTTTGGTCTTTCTGCAAAGTGACCACATCATTTTTCTCTACATCCAACAGCTGTGGGTGGACAGTTATTCTGTCAAACAGAGTTGGATCTGTCTTGAAAAAACAGAAATCCATTTAAAGGGAACTTAGGTAAAAGATTGGCAAAAAAAAAAATAAAAATCTTGTTTTCTATGTAGTTTGCATGTGGTCTCTGTGCTCTCTGAATACTCTTGTCCTAAACGTGCATGTAAGACTTATTGGTGAAGCTAAACCACCTTAAGCTGTGTCTGCATGGTTGTTTGCCTTCATCGCTTACCCCATTGTGAAGTTGGAATAGACTCCAGCATGGAAGCATCTCTCTTTAGATGGCATCCTTATTCCACTTTAGGTTTCTTACTTGGCGGCTTTACGTCAGATTTTATGTTCTGTACATTTTATATAAACAAGTGATAATTAGAGGCGATGCTTTAATTGTTGCCCATGATCAACTGTGGCAACATAACTAACAAATCAGAAAAGCCCTCACACACATCATCTTCCTCGATTTTATTAAAATTCTCTTTAACTTAAACTTGAACAGACGTCATATGAACAAATAATTTTGTTAACTTTGACGCCCTTGCACGTCATTCACAGTAACTTCTGTTGAATGCAGCTGCTGTCAAATACAATAAACAATTCACAAAATAACACCATTGGATTTCTTTTTTTTTTTTACAAATGACCTGCAAACGTAAAGATGTCCAAACTTAAAAAAAGGACAAAATTTGTTTTATATGTGCAGAAGAGGCCAGCAGGAATAAATTACGACCACATCACTAAGTCTTTCACCTAATGAGATTTTGCCTTTCTGTACGAGAATTACCAGATGAGTTTGTTACGTAAACAAAAGATGAAAACCAAAATAAATGAAATTAGAGAACTGATGCTCAAACACAGAAAATGTTAGATGGTTGAGTTTCAATCGTGTTGTACCAAAGAGAACATCTGCGTCTTTAGTTACCTGCAACATTTTGTTATATATCTCATTAGTGGTTTATAAAGGTAGAATGAGGACAAGTCAACATTTGTGATACTACACTTCTGTAGTAAAACATTATACTAGCTTTACGACTCTGTATCTAGTGATGGTTTGACCTTTGATCACCACCATGTGCTCTTTACAACGACATATCTGAATACATGTCAGGCTGTACATGGTATAATCTTTTCCTTCAGTTTACACTCTTTGCACATATAGAGAAGTGCCAGATATTTTAAAAAAAAAGTTATTAATAAACTGAGAATTGATAAAGTGCAAAATCATTTTAAAACTCCTGCCTTATGGATTCTGGTGTCATTAGGGCTATTTATACCTAAATGTGTCCTTTTTTGAGAATTGTACATGTGTCATTTGTGGAATATTATTGTGTCTGTTAAGAATAAATATAATTTATGCTGTTAAACATGAGTATTCAGTTTGTAATGTATCTTATACTGAGCAAGCAGTGCGTTAATAGAGCTAGGTAAGCTTCTCTCTGGTATTACTTGTTGATAGCTCAAAGAGATGGGATGTCTTTGTTGGTGATTTAGGATTTAAATAAAAGACCCGAATCATATGCCCAAATAAATAAAGCTGAAAATCTAGAAGAGAAGTTTTACTAATACTTGCTTTATTCTGCTAAAGTTTTATTTAAGTTTTATTTAACCTCCGATGGTAGTCAAGGGACAAAAGATCAATAAAATGATCCCATGGAAGACAAATAAAACCATGTTAATAAAAACAAATTGTAACCAAGGTCATACATCTTTCTCTGTCAGCTGGTCAGTCCATCATTATGATCCCTCTTGTCTTCTCTTCTTTGCACTGACTCAGACAAGTCAGAGCTCAGACAAGTCAGAGATCATTTTTAACACAACTCCCTGCTTGAATAAGCAGCATGTCGTAAATATTGCACTTAAATAATCTCGAGAGCCCTAGATTGTGGACATAAAGATTATGTAGTTAAAAGTTATGTCACTTGAAAACATTTTGCACAGTCAAGGTCCTTATGGTAAAGTGTTTAAATCAGAGTGTGAATAAGTATGTTCAAGGGTACTTTTTGCAGAATCGTATTCAGTTTCTAGGAGTTCTGCAGGAAGCGACGCTGAGAAACCTCTTCACTAAATGCAATGCCCAAACCGACTAGGTTTGAAATGATCGTTGAAGAAATGTTATTTTAAAGTCGGGCCACTCCAGCCTGCCGAAGTTCTCTCATAAATATCAATTTGTTTAGCTGTTATTCATTTTTCCTGAAATCAGGGCAATGTCCTTATCTGGTATTAAAACACTTTGCTGCAATGGCAGCATAGTAGATTTTTGATTAAAAACACATCAAATAAGAGAAAAATAAACAAGAAAATTAGAAATGGGCAATGTGCAAGAAAAAATGCCTTATGAGATGATTTTAGAATGGCAGATTTTATCTTAAGCAGTGATTTAAAACAAAATAAATTGAAAAAGAAATAATGACATGTTGCTCTACTGGTAACAACCCTTCATATTTTGATACATTCAACATTTTTTGCCAAAAATGTAATTCTTCTGAATGCAACACTTAAAAAAGTGTTTAATTTGTGGATGAAAAACATAAACTAGACAGAAAAACATACAGACCACAGTTGAACTGCGTAAATCAAAGCCTTTTATCATTTAGAAACTGAAATTAATAATTATTTGCTTTACGTTGTTCTATCATGTTCTTTGGATTGATTCGTCTTAGGATAAGATTAGGTCAGCGAACTGTGACTCAGCACAATTTTGAAAGATATGCTGAGTCACGTAGCACAGCCATAAAATGAACCTATCTCTTTTATAAGCAAAAAAAAAAATGCTGAGTAAACATGAGCTCACTTATCTTATCAAAGGCATACATGTTATCAGTTCTGGTGTGGGCTACAATCCAGTGTGACCTTGATTTTCTGTCTTTCACTCAACAGGCTAATGTGTAATAAAGTTTGGAAAAATTTAAAAGGGATGAAAATATGTCTTTTTCAAACAGGCTAATGATTTGTGAAGGAGTCTCTGTGCACCCACAGTCCTACCTTCACTCTAACCACTCTGAATGCCTCCCCTTTCACTGCTTCTCCACTTCATGTTGTGTTATGCTGATTTAGTTTTCCCATCCATGCATGTTTCAGATCCCCACACCGACTAGCAAATGCCTGAATGTCATTTTGAGCTGAAAATATACAGGAAGAGATCATTTACAGAGAAGTATTTTTCTGCAGGCAGTTAAACAAGGTCAATCATGAGTCAGCACTTTTCTCAACTTAGCCTCTCGCACTGTGTACATTCAAAGTTGCCCATCGGCTGCCACCCCTCCCACCTCTTCCTCCAGTTGGATCACAGGATATAAAAGACTTTGTTTCTCTTCTCCTTTTCACTGCCAAGCAATCCTTCTGCAGCAGCACCACCAGCAGCCACTTTTCCTCTGAGCCACACTCACTCCAAAAAACAGGGAACCAAGATGACCATGATACTGGCTTACTGGGACGTCCGAGGGGTAAGTAAATACTTTTGCTTTGAAAGTATCGGTTGATGTTTTTGCAGCTCTCTGACATATTGTGCATATTGCAGAGCAGCAATCAGAGCAAATTAATTCCTAATGGTCAGTCTCTGCAGGGATTTGAGATAGCTGCTGTCACTTTACTTTACCAGAAGATGCCACAGACTGTTTTTACTACGCTTTTATGGACACATTAACTGAGAGGCGTTTCTTTATGGCCACACAATTCGGAACGACTTTTGAAAGTGCAATTTAACTCTAAAGCAAACTTGTTGCTCCACAGGATTAAAAATTCAACAGCCTTTTAATCTGCATATCACCTTAGAAATAGTCATAGAGGTACTATTTTTATTTTACAGTCTGCAGTGACAACATATATCTTACAGATAAAAAAAAAACAAAAAACCGAATAGTAATAGATTGGTACAAATCAACTGGTACCAAACTATCTCTTCTAATAAAGACTACGCAGCATTTCTCTTATTTTACATAGAAATAAGAAGTGGGACCAACACAGTGATTGCAACAGCAGCATAAGCAGATCAATAGAAATTATTTGCTAATTTATACTTTGCAAAACTCATCACTGTCCTTTTTGCATATCAATAATTGTCACAGAAAAGACAAGCCTGTGAAGCCTGCGGTGTTTTCTGCAAACAGACCAATCAGAAGCCTTTTGGTTCTCTGCTATGACATCTATGCAAGAAAGGTTAATTGCATAACTGCCATAAATGCTTATCTGTAACAAAGCTGCAGATATGTCACAGTGCGATACAAGCTCATTGTTTTTTGCAGTAGCTTTAAATACTTTCAGAAAGACTATATGGTTCACATGTTTATGTTGCTAAAAATAACTTTTATTTTGAAGAGTAATGGTTAAGCATAACCAAGGAGTCAGAAGGTCTTAGTTAACTAAACTAAAAAATATTTCAAAGAAGAGATTAAGCTTCGTCTTGGTTTGTGTGTCTTTGGTTGTGTAGTTAACTGTGTGTCGGCATATCCTCTGATTGCACTCCTGTGAAAATCTCTAAGTTGGAGTAACCTTAAACTCTCTTCTCTGCAGTTTGCCGGACACATACGGCTCATGCTGGAGTACACCAAGGCCAAGTACGAGGAAAAGTTTTACGTCGTTGGTGATGGTAATTAACATTTATTTCAGCCTACTGATATATCACTATTTAAAACTTAATTACTTTGGTAATTTAACCCCCATTTTTCTCTGACAGCACCGGGTTTTGACAAAAGTGGCTGGTTTAATGAAAAATTCAAGCTTGGACTTGACTTCCCCAACGTAAGGGAGACTTGTTTTTTTTATTATTATTATTTTACTTTTATTCTGGGATTTATTTATGTTTCTTGTTTTTAATGAGGACAATATTTACATTCCACAATAGCTGCCTTACCTGATTGATGGAAACAACAAGGTCACACAGAGTATGGCAATCCTGAGGTACCTCGCACGAAAGAACAACCTGTGTGAGTGTTAGTTGTCGTAAATAGAAATTTTGCTTGGGAGAGTTCATTCATTCAGCCACAAAATATATAAATTTTGAAGTTGCAGAAATACTGGAAACTTTCATCCTCAAACAGGTGGAGACACGGAGGAGCAGAAGATCAGAATAGACATGCTGGAGCAGCAGTGCTTAGACTTGAGAGCCAGCTTTGTGAGGATGTGCTATGTTGACCTTGTACGTATATAACTGTTCAGCTGTGCAACATTCAGTCTTACCATAAGTCTCAATGTCCTCTAATGCTGATATATATATTCTGAAATCAGGAAGGTCTAAAGCCAGACTACTTGAAGGCGCTGCCAGAAGCACTGAAGCTGTTCTCTGACTTCCTGGGACAGAGGAAGTGGTTTGCTGGAGACAAGGTAACTTATCTTATAAACATAAAAGAGTTAATAGTCAGCTATAAAACAGCTTGGATCAGTTTTTTATTGAGGCTTTTATTAGTTTTTATTCTTCTCTCAGGGTTCTTAAATAAATAAATAAATAAATAAATAAATAAATAAATAGATAGATAAATAGATAAATAAATAAATGTACACTCTAAAGCTGCATCAAAATGATTATTTTAGATTTATTTACATAATCTGTCGACTTTACCTTTGACTGCTAATTATCATTTTAAGTATGTTATGTCTTTTCTTTTAAACTAGCTCACCTATGCGGACTTCATCATGTACGAGATGCTGGATATGCAGAGGATGTTCCATCCTCCCTGCTTGGATAATTTCAAGAACCTCAAAGCTTTCTTGGACCGTTTTGAGGTAAGAAAACACTCTGCTGTCTAAAATTTACAATGATCTGTCCACCACCGTGGTAATTGCCCCCCAATTTTGTTCTCTGACGCCTCCATTATTTACCTTAACTAAGTTCCTGTCAATGTTTTTTTTTCCTCTCCAATCTTTCCAGCAGATATAATGAAATATAACTGATCAAGCCAGGATTTACTGTAAAGTGATGTTTGTTTCTTTTGTATTTTATCTTAGGCTCTGGACGGGGTTTCTGCCTACTTAAAGTCAGATAAATACATCAAGGAGCCCATCAACAACCGCATGGCCCAGTGGTCATTCAAGAAAGTGAAGTAAAAGTGAAGAACAACAGCTGTACTCCTGGACGACATGATAAAAAGTTTGAGAGCTAAGAAGTAGAATTTGATTCAACAATTAATTAGCAACTCAGGAAAAGTCGTCATCAACAGATGACAGATGGACCAACATATCAAGTTTCATTACTTTCACACTAATGCTACAATGTTAGGAAAACTATGGTTTGCTTAAAACTCTTTTTACATGTGCAACTTTTTGGACGGATTAAAATAACTCTATCTACTTTGAACTTCGCTTCTTTCTGTTTAGGATTCAGGCTAAATGTTACATTTTTACTTAACACCACTGAGTAGAGACTAAATGAACAGAGAGAGATACTGCAAATTCAGCTGAAGATCTTTTGCAATATAATAGAGAGGTACAAAAATATGACTTGTTTAGACTTTAAAACTGGTTTTGATAGTTAAAAAAGACACAGTACTTAATATTAGCTTCAAAGGGCGGTGGGAGGTTTAAACAATCCTACACCCATGAGGTTTAAGATTTATTCTTCAGGATGTGGGGCCACCTAGTGGTGTAAAAAATATCAAATTGTATATCCCATCCTCAACACCACTACCTCAATTGTGGTCCTGAAAAATGGAGGTCTAACAGATTCCTTAGAGAAAGTTGCTGTTCCCCAATTAAAAAAAACTGAAAGATTATTTAAAGTTCACTTCTTTTAATAAGCATTCTTAAAAGTATAAGAAAATTCTAAGGTCCACACAAAAGCAAACAGTTTATCACACCGATTATTAACAAAGGCCTCTTTCAGATCATCCTTTCAGACAGTGACCTAAAAGTTGACCCTTTTGGAAGATGTGGGTCATGTTACATCTGACCTAAACCTAACATGGTGTCAGACATGGTGGGGATTGTGTGCAGGTTTAGAGCTACTTTGCTTTCTCAAGACCTGGATACCTGCAATGATTGATGAAATCGTGAATTTTCGTCTCCACCAGAAAATACTGCAGGAGACTTCGGTTCTGCAACGAGACAATAATCCAAAGCACAGTAGCATGATCACCTAAGAATGACGCAAGTAAATGTTTTGCAGTGGCCAAAATTCAATTAATATACTGAGATGCTGTGGTATAACATCATACATGCTATTTATAATCAAAAAGCCCTCCAGTGTGGCTGAGTTAATGGTGCAAAATTAATTAGTGGTGATGTTATAAACTTATTCTCAGTTAAAGCAACTCTTGATGTCAGTTGCTAGCACCGTTGATATCATTGGCATGACTAGCTATTAGGTTTACAATTACTTGGCTAGATAAGATTTGTCAGTATTTGATTTGCTCATCGCCAGTAAAAGTTGCTCAATGGAAAATTGTTTGATTCTAATTGCAGGATGACTGAACAGTGCATCTCCATTACATGCCTTTTTGAGTAAAACTGAAGAAAAAAAAATACACATAGATCCATTATTTTGGCTTCTACCTTCTTGCAAAGCTCAGCTAGACCAAATAGAAAAGCAAATTAAGGCTTAAGGAACTGAAAGCTAACAACTTGTTAAGCCCCAATTAGTGTCCTACTTTGCCTTTAGTTTTATTGTCATAATCTTTCTGCTTTGCCCACAAAGAACTGTTTTCTTTGTCAGTACTGAAGGTCTTTTGTATTTTCAGGAAGCTTTATTTTTTTCTACCTAAAAGCTTCTTATAGATACAAATAAAAAGGGAGAATATAAAAAAAAATGAAACTCTTATGATTCACGTAAAAAAAGAGAAAGAAAGAAAGAAAGAAAGAAATAAGGGCTCCTCTGTTTTTCAGCCAGCACTTCATAATCACAAGGGGTTTTGTGGGAGAGTGCAAATGAATGATCCAAAGGTGCAAAACAAAGACTTTGTTGTTTGAGTGCATTCAGTTCAGCACACACTAATGTAGGTCGAAGTAAGCTGGGAGTTCAGAAAGAAATGTTGACCAAATAGATAATAGTTTTTCTGAAAGTTAAAAAAAACAATACATAGCATACTGTGAACCTCTATAGGAGTGTAGCTATGTTATCTTTTGACAAGCAAAAACATACAAAAAGTTATCCATAGGAACTACTTAAATGTGAAAAATCTGCAAGTCATAATCTAAGCAAAGTTTTAATAAAACAGTTTATTATATATATAATGTAACTTTGCATACATAAATCACTTCGTTTTACAGGTTGGATGAATCATTTTCAATTTATGATCGCTCATTGCTCCCTATAACAATGAGCATGTAGGTGCAGTTCAGTTACCCACACAATCATCCCTCTTGTCTGTTCCCTTAATCTTAACAATGTAAAAGCTCACGTATAAATCATCAAAACTTACAGATCATGCTGACTTGTCACGGCATCTCAATGCTGTTGTAATTGTGGAGCAATCTCAGCTTTTGTTGATACAATAAAAATAATGGAACAAATCCACACCATAGTGTATGTACTTTTCACAATGACAATCATGTTTTAACTTAGCCAACATAACACGACAGTTGAGGTCTTTACTTTAAGCTAATAATATCAATTTTCTCAGCTCATTTGTTTAAACAGGATTTTAGGATTTTAGTCAAGAGAAATAGCAACCTAGAAGTCACAGACGCAATAGAAGTAGCTGAAATTGCAGACATCACATTTAGATCTAAGAACTTGACTGTACACTCTCTGGCCACTTTATTTGGTACAAATGTTAATTTTGCCTATTAACAAAAGTTGCCAACTCAAACATTTAGACATCTTGACGTGTTCAAGTATTTCAGAAACAGAGTTGATCTACTCTTGGGTTTACAGAAAACATAATGAAAACGATGAAACTATTCAACCTTTTTGACATCAGAGGTCAGGAGATTGATCAGATTGGTTGAAGATGATAGGAAAGGATCCGCAGTTAAAATAACCACCAAGGTATGCAAAAAGGCATCTCTCAAGACAAAATACTTCAAACATTGAAGGCTTCAGCAGTGGAAAACCACAAAGAAAGCCACTTGTGTCACTTCAGAACGAAACACTGCGTCTACAAACCCAAAATTCAACAACAGTTTAGAAAAATGTTACCTGGTTCAATGACTCTTGATTTTCGCTGCAACATGCAGATAGTAGACTCAGAATTTGGCATAAACATGAGACTATAAATCCATCCTCCATTGTATCAATGGTTCAGGCTACTGCTGGTAGAGGGGTGGGGGAATATTTTCTTGGCAAGCTTAAGGGACTTCAGTGAGAACTGACCATTACTGAAATACCTCTGCCTACCTGCGTGTCATTTTGTTCCAATAGGACCACGACAAACATCTTCTCATGGCTACTTCCAACACGATAATGCACCTGGTCACAAAGCTCAAATAATCTCAAACTGGTTTCTTGAACATGATTATAAACTGCCTCAATAATCAACTGAACTCCATCCAATAAGTCGGGGGTGTCAAACTCATTTTCATTTTGGGCCAAATCAAAAATCTGAATGTTCGTAAGGGCCGGTTGTGCCAGAATATATTGATAAAACCCATTACACTATTAAAATATCAAAAAAATAGCTGTTCGTTTCGGCATTCAGTAAGTGTTTCTTAAAATTAAATAATATTGAACATCTTTTCACACTGGTCAGTCCATCCAGGATTTTGTGATTGTTTTTGTGTAGGTTTTTTTGCTATTAAAGTCAAAGATTTTGTTGTGTTAAACTAGAAATATTTGTAAGGAATTTTTATGATACATGCACGAATGTATCATGCTAAATGTGACTGTTAATAATAACCATATCGATCACGGATTATAACTTGACACCAAGTAAGGCTGAGGCAGCAATCACTTAAAACCAATGTTTTTGCCCAATGTTGAGACAAAAAAAAGCAGTAAATTCAGCAAAAAAAATTAGATCTGTTGACTTTATGTAAATTTTGCAAATTTGTGAAAAACTGGAGACTTATTGGTGTAATTTGGGGTCTAGGGGGCCACAAGAATGATCTTTGGAATACAATAGAAGAGGAGCTTGTTTGACAGGTGCAGCCCTAAAATCTGTAGAAACTGTATGATGCCATCATGTCAATATGGGCCATTTCTCCAAGGAAGAAGATTCTGACATCATGTTGAATCAGGACCATGAAGAACTAAAGTACACTGCTCAAAAAAATAAAGGGAACACTCAAATAACACATCCTCGATCTGAATGAATGAAATATTCTCACTGAATACTTTGTTCTGTACAAAGTTGAATGTGCTGACAACAAAATCACACAAAAATCATCAATGGAAATCAAATTTATTAACCAATGTAGGCCTGGATTTGGAGCCACACACAAAATTAAAGTGAAATGTTCCCTTCATTTTTTTGAGCAGTATATATATGAAGTTCAAACACAATGCAAGGTGTACCTATTGCAACATCAGACAAAAGTTAGAGAAATGTGGCGCTTTTACATTTAAATCAAATGCAAGAAAAAGGTTCATTTTTGCATGTCGTTAATCGTCTTACTATTGAATTTGCAGAAGCATAGCTGTTTCCAGAACTTCAACCTTGCCATATGAATGTCTATGATTTTAAGCTCTTGTGTGTGTGATGGGCTTGGTTGATACTTACCTTTTTTTTCTTTTTCAACTCAAACCCTCCCATGACCAAAATGTGTGTGCTTGTTACAACACGACTTATTGTTTTCATAGTAATCCCTGGATCATTTTACAGCAATTTACTTTCAATCAGGCTGTCATAGAAAGTCCTTACTTACGACTTTGCTTGACTTTAGCTCATTATCCTCGCTGTCGGTCATAAGCATTAATTTTACTGGGAGGATTTACGAAGTATTTCTGTGCTTTTATGCAAAAATGGTGTAGGCTGAACTTTAATGCAACCTGCAGAACAGGTTCAGAGCAATACTGTGGTGTTTGGACTGTTACCCCACCCACCTATTCATCTCCTCCTCCTCCTCTCGGCCCGTGAAAGACCTCCGTTCCTCGGTGTCTCTTCGCACACACATTTGGGCTTTGTTTGCTCCTGCTGCTTCCTCCTAAAACACGAAAGGCACCGAACATTGAACCAAAATGGCCATGGTTCTAGCTTACTGGGACATTCGCGGGGTAAGTTGAGTCGGTTTGGTCGTCGTCGTTGGACTGAACAGTTGCAGCTTTTCAAGCTGTTGTTAATGGCAGACGGTGACACCCACCAGAGCCAGCCAGCTTTCTTTTCACCCTCCACCGCCACAGTCTACTACTGTTCCTATTATATCTGGTCGTCGAAGTTAACGGGGTTATTTGAGGTGCTAGCTAGCCGCTAAAATGTTGCCGACTGTGCGCGTGCAGCCCTCATCAGCGAGGCTAGTAATGGTTTTATGGTTTGAATTAATTAGCTGGATTAACTGAATTGCTCACATTTTGTAATCTGGGTGATCGTTTGACAGACTGTGGGCGAGACTTTATTTAAATACGAGAATGAAATCATAATATTATGACTGAAGTCCTTTTAACACTATGAGAATATGAGCAGAAAAAAGACACAAAGTTACCAGAAGAAAGTCGAGAAAACAAAAAGCTTCGAGTGTGATCTGACCCAGCTCTTTAATCTGTGTATTTCTTTCTTTGAACGACAGTCGTAAGCATTTTTTTATCAGTAGCAAAAGTCCTGCTACTGATAACAATTTGATGTTAATCTGATAAAAGAATAAGTATTTCAATATTTGAAAAAATTAATACCAAAGTATAATTTCTCAAGACGCTTAACATTTCTCTTATTTTAGCGCAGTGTTTATATTTTACCACTACTCTTTCGTAGTGGTAAGATATGTTGAAAAGTTGAAAAGTTCTTCATGTATAAAGTGTAGCATGTAAGATTTACTTTAGCTGCCTTTTTACTGATTAGATGAGAAGTCTGCAAGCCAATGTAGACAGTATCTGATTCTAACCAACCAGCTCAAAGGCAAAACTGTACAAGAGTTCATATGGAGGCATACCGAGACCACCTCAAAAAATGGGTCTATGGTTTTTTGGTTTGCACCAGGATTTACATTAGTTTATTTACGCCTGCACAAAAAGTCTGGACCAACGGGGAATACACACTCTGGTCTGTTTAAAGCATATTAAATGTGTCAGGTGTGAATACACCATTAGTTTAGTGCCTATGCAATGTTTTATAAATGGGACTCCTGAAGTGTTTGTTCATTTATGTCAGATATGGATATGATTGTAAGCTTGTACTTTGGCATTTTACTTGCAAAATAATGCTTCCTGGAGAGAATATTAGCTCCTAATAAGGAATAGTATCAAAAATATAAAACTGCTGATTCATGCGACTTGCACATGAATCAGCAGTTTCATGTGCTTATTCGTGTGACTTGCACTTTTCATATGGCCATTCACCATTTAGCCTATGATGCATTGTTTCTACTTTGCAGCCTCTTTTGTTAATTATTTACCGCCGCATGTATTGGTGGTCAACAGTCATACTGATATAACAAACCAATTTATATGCAATGGTTAATTTTTAATTTTTCAGAGCATGGCCTTTTTAAAATGGCCAGTTTTGTTAAAGACTACTAATGACAGCAAATAGTAACTTTCAGTTGGGTTAGGTAGAATACAAAACAAACATAATGTAATTAAAGGAAATGTATTTCAATACATGTGGTATTGAACTGTTTTTGGTGATTTGTAATTTTTAGATTGTGGCTTTCATTTGACATTGCATCAAATGTTTTGTAAAATAAAGTATTTTTGCTTGCTGCATATTACAATTGGCATTACACATTTTTGCAAGCTAGAAAACAATCAATCTTCATCGTCAAAGCAAAAATAATTTTTGTGTAGCCATGTGACTGTAACCTGTACGACTAGATCAGAACATAATGACATCTTCTCAATTAGCTTATAGCCTTAGTCTTTTCCTCTTGATGACTGCGGAAGAATGCAACAGTTATGTTCATCCTTGGTAAATGTATATTTGTTTGCGAATGTGTTTAGGCTCTGCTGATGTTGGGTTTTCGTAGAGAACTGTTTAAGTGTCCCATTGGAGACAAATGGAAAGACTTTAACTTGAGAAGGTTTTCATGAAGACAGTGAGTGGCGAGATAATTACATTACAGCACATAGAGAGTGGTCAAGTGTCTTTTTCACAAGCTGTTGTCTTAATGCGATTTAAAACCTAATTAGACACTAGACTCAGTGAAGTGATAAATCAGATAATCATCCTTTGAGAAGTTGAAATCTAAACCTTACATAAAGCCTAGACAAGTCTCAGTCTTATTAATACTTAAATAATGCTGTGAATGGTTTTTTGTTTGTTTGTTTTGTTTATATAAAACTGGATAATTCAATTGCGCGTCTTCTGAAGTTTGTCCGTGTCTGTATTTGGTGTCAAAGTCAACCCTGACAATGAAATAATTTCTCCCTATTTTCTGAATCCGTGCAGCTCGCCCAGCCCGTCCGCCTCCTCCTGGAGTACACCGGCACTGCGTATGATGAAAAGTTTTACACCTGCGGTGAAGGTGATGCGCTATTTCAGCTAACAGATAAAGAAAATCCACTACATTAGAAGATTTGAATAAATCACTCATTTCTCTCTCTTAGCTCCGGACTATGACAAAAGCTGCTGGTTTGGTGAGAAGGAGAAACTTGGAATTGACTTCCCCAACGTAAGAATTGTTCAGCTTTGCTTTCACCGTAGAGCAGGTTCAAGTGTTTTGTTGATGATGATGATTGACCCTCACTGTAGCTGCCCTACCTGGTGGATGGGGACAGGAAGATAACGCAGAGCAACGCCATTATGAGATACATCGCTCGCAAACACAACCTGTGTACGTATTGGGGTCCTTCATTCATAATACAAAATCAAGGGTTTTTTTTCTTTAATTTAATAGTTTTGTGATGCCAAATGTTCTTTCTGTGGACTTTGGGGTGATGACAGGTGGAGAGACGGAGGATGAAAAGGTCAGAGTGGACGTGCTGGAGAACCAGGCCATGGACTTTAGAAACGGCTTTGTGAGGCTGTGCTACACCGACTTCGTAAGTAGATGTTCTTTAAATGTTTTCACATTAAATCTTGGACCCCCACTAAAGTTGGCCTTCCCTCCGTAAAATCAGGAAAAGCTAAAGCCAGGATACCTCAGCTCGCTGCAAGGTACGCTGAAACAGTTCTCCGACTTCCTGGGTGACAGGAAGTGGTTTGCTGGTGACAAAGTAAGTTGTCTCAGTTTGAGTTTATATTGAAAGCTAAAAATTAAGCTTTATAGCTTTGATCCAATAGTAATTCATCTAATTTGCTGGTTGCTGCTCTGGCCATCTTTCAGCTGATTAGTTGTTTTTAAGTATGTTCTTTAAAGACCAAGTTATTGATGTAAGCGGATTTAAAACATGCTGTGAAAACATCTAGCCGTCAAATTTTAAACTGTGTGAGGAATCAGTTTGGTCCCTTTGAGCTTCATTTCAGCTGTTACACAATTACACCAGCAGGGGGCGGTGTAGGCTTAATGCAGATTAAAATATTTCAGATTTAAGTGAAAAAAATATGTTGTTATTTTTAGCACACTTTTTTCTCAGATTTTGTTTTGGCTCCAAAATTATCAAAACCTTCTGCAAAATGTGTTGAAGGCCACAGTAAAGGGTTCATATGTAATATGGAAAACACATGATTTGTGATTTTTTTTTTTGTGTGTGTGTGTGTGTGTATTTTTATTTTGTATTTTTCAGGTCTGAATAAGTTTATTTCCAGACTTTGTCCCTTATCCCACTGTCTAGTTTCTCTTCCTCCTTGGTGTCCTGGCCCTCTTCTTCCTTCCTTAATTGTATCTTTCCTCTCTTCTTTCTTCCTTAGTTCCTTCCTTATTTTCTTTCTTCCTCCATGTACTCCATTCTCTAATTTTTACCAACCCGAGCTCCTTTTTTTCCTCATGTTGTTCCATAGTTGTCTGTCCTTCCTTGCTTCTTTCCTTTCTGCCCTCCCTCTCA